CCTCCACCTCCACCTCCACCTCCACCTCCACCTCCACCTCCACCTCCACCTCCACCACCTTTATGGCACTAGACTGTCACATTTGGAGAGCTTGGTGATCTCACAGCACTGACCATTCGGTTACTGGCCACATGCTTTATACATTATGCCACCAGAGGTTCTTCAGGGGTGAGGCACAGGGGACATAAGAAAGCCCGCACTCCTCTTGATGGCCTTTCCAGTGGGAATGGTGGTCAGTAACCTTGATGGGGCACCTGGGACATGAGGGAAGGAGCCAGACGAGTGTTCTGGGGACTCTGGTCCATGCGAGCAGCAGGGTAAGAGGTCTGGATGGAAACACACCAGAACATTCTGGGACGAAGAGACCTCTGGGGCTCAGGCTGAGGGATGCTGGTAGATGTGAGGGTGAGGAGTCCACACAAGCATGGGGTGACAGCCATCCCCTTGTGCCTGTGAGGAGGCCACAGCAGGCAGGACCCCCTAAGGAGAGCAGCAAATGTGTGAGGTGCCCTCTGAGCAATGGGGAACGTGCTTCACTGCTAACCTAAAGTTCGGCGGTTCGAATCCACCAGGTGAACGGTGAGGCAGCCTGCTCTGTAGAGACGGCCGTCAGCAGTCTGAGCACACCCGAGGGGGCAGCTTTGCCCTGTGTCGTGGGCTCGCTGTGCGTGGCACGGACTCAGCACTGGGGGGCTTGGTCTTAAAACTTCTGTCAGGACTTGGGGCTTTCTCTGTCACCAGTTAGCACAGGCCAAGCTGTGACTCATGCGGCTTTCTATCAGGTGTTATTCTGTTTCACCCCAGAAGGAAGCTGTGGTGAGCTGAAAGGGGTGCACTTTGGGGAGAGCTTTACTCAAATATTTCTCACCATGAACACAAGCATCAAACACTGCCATCCACAACTCACTGTCACCTGTCATTGACTCAAGACCAACCCAGCGACCTCTGTACAGCCCTGCCCAGTCCTGCACCACCTCACACCGCTGACCGCCGTACAGCCCTGCCGGTCCTGCGTATCTCTCACCACTGAACCCCCCCCCACGACCCCGATACAGCCCTGTCAAATCCTGTGCCATCGCTCACTGCTGAGCTGCATACAGTCCTGCCCAGTGCTGCCCCATCCTCACACTGCTGACCCCCTGACCTCTGTACAGCCCTGTCCTCACACCGTTGACTCTCTCACCCCCATATAGCCCTGCCTGACCCTGCCCCATCTCACAATCTCCACTCTTCCTGGACACACTGCTGCAGCGACTGGTCAGTCCGTGTCACCGAGGGCCTTCCCCTTTCTCTGACTCTACGTTACCTAGCACAGCGCCCTTCTCCAGGGGCTGGCCCCTCCCAAGATTCCATGAAGAACCCTGAGCCTGTGAGCTGGATAGACAGAGTGAGATGGTTGGCCTGCCCTGTGGCCAGGCACTAACTGCTCCCCATCAGTGGACGGCCACCACCCTTGTTTTCCAAGAGAGCAGTGAGCACTGGCTGTGGATGTGTCCCCCAGCTTAGCAGCTCGCTGTGAATGTCTCTCCCAGCAACAGAAGCCCGTGGGCACACCGTGTGACTTGCAAGGCCTGCCCTCCCAGCACACCTGGCCCCTGGGCGGTTCCCTCTGGCTCAAGGAGCCATTGGGTCAGGGGAGCCTCCCGTGGTGTTGCCCTCCCACCTCAGACCACAGTTGTCTGACTCTCTGACGGGAGGGGGCACAGCAGGCAGTCAGTTCTACGCTGAGTTGTTGTTAAGAGCTGTCAGGTCAAGGACGACTCATGTGACCCTCTAAGCAGCAGATGTAAACACTGTGCCATCCTGTGCCACCCTCGCCGTCTCTGACACACTCAAGCCCACTGTAGTCACTGTATTAATCCTCTTGGTCGAGGGTCTTCCTCTCTTGCTGCCCCTCCACCTTCAAAGCATGATATTCCTCTCCAAGGAACAGCCTCCCCTAGCAACATGCCTGAAATATGTGACACAAAGCTTCATCATCTTTGCCTCCAAGGAGCACGCCTGCTGCACCTTCGCCAAGATGTGTCTGCTTGTTCTTTTGATAGTCGGTGGGATATTCAGTATTCTTCAACCTCTCAGCTCAAAGAAGTCAGTTCTTCCATCATCCTTAACAACGTCCAGCTCTCAGCAGTATAGCAAGTGACTGAAAAGACCATGGCCTGGATCAGGCACACCTTAGTCCTCAAACTGACATCATTGCTCTTCAATAATTTGGAGAGCTCTGACTATACTATAACTATACTATACTATACTATACTATACTATACTATACTATACTCTATGCTGAAAGCATGGTCCAAGTCAGAACTAGTGCTGTTCCCTGTTCCATGGTGGAGTTCTCCACTTCCACTTAAAAGACTCCGGTTCAAATCCCATTCACAGTGCATGGTTTCATGTTGCTCTGATGCACAACTGGTTTCAGCAGAGCTTCCTGAGTAAGATTACGAGGAAAAGCTTGGTGATTTGCTTCTGAAAAATCAGCCTATGAATACCTTAGGGATTCCAATGGTGTGATCCAAGACTGCTCAGGGTTGACCCTGGGCCAGGCAGGGTTTCACTTCAAGCATGTGAGATGACCAGGTGTTGAGGGCCAAGCTGACAACAGCCCAGCCTAGGCCCATCCTCACAATCGTTGCTGTGTGTGAGCCCACTGCTGCAGTCAGTGTCCAGTTCTCTGTGGCTGAGAGCTGGACGGTGAGTAAGAAGACAGAAGAACTGATGCCTGTGAGCTGTGGCGCCAGAGAAGAGCACTGAGTGTCCCATGGACGGCCAGGAAAACACACAGATGTCTTGGAGAGGGGGTAGCCAGACCGCTTCTTGGAGACAAAGATGAGAAAGCTTTTGCACACATACTTTGGGCATGTTTTTAGGAAGGGCTGTCCTTTGGAGAAGGACATGATGCTTGGAAAGGTGCAGAGTGTCGAAAGAGAGGAAGACCCTCACCCAGGTGGACTGACACAGTGCCTGCAGCAATGGGCCTCTCTAGTGTATTAGCGACGATGATGGCACAGGACGGGTCAGAGTTCAGAGCTGCTGTGCTTAGAGTGGGTGTGAGTCCTGCTCCACTGGACACACTTAACACCACCACCACACAACTCAACCCAATGCCATGGACTTGATCCTCACTCAGAGACACTACAGGACCCAGCAGAACTGTCTCCTGCACTTCTTGGCCTGTGACTCTGAGTGGAAGCAGACCGCGTCATCCCAGAGCAGCTGCAGGCTTGAACCGCTGACCTTGTGGTTAGTGGGTGCGTGCTAAACCACTGCGCTCAAATGGCTGCACACTTCAAAGGTCCTGAGGGGCAAGGAGCTGCCATCCTGACACCCTGCACTCGGCAGCTTCCAGGCTGGTCAGGAAGGCAAAACAAAGTAACTCAAGTGTCCTCCCACGGGCTGTGACTCCTGCCGCCTGGTCCAGGCACAGCAGACGGCAGCCCTGGCCGGTCCTGGGTCATCCTCCCAACCGCTCCGCACTCAGCCTTCTGTGGGAGACGCTGTGTCCTTCCACCTCATTCCTCTGACCCAGGGAACACATCCTCCTCCAGAAACTCGGACTCCTGGGCATGTGCGGTGATGTCCACCATCCCTGCATCCACAGAGGATTCTGGCTGACTTCTCCTGGGGTCTAATTTTCCTCTGGGCTGTGCACACAGCAGCACCCAACTGGAGTCTTCAGCTTCAGAGAGCTGAGGGTCCCCGCCATTCAGAGGGTTCAATTCTTCTGTCATCTTTACTCATTGTCCAGCTCTCACAGGTATAGCAAGTGATTGAAAAGACCATGTCCTGAATCAGGCACACCTTAGTCTTCAAACTGACATCATTGCTCCTCAGTAATCCGGTGAGGTCCCTGACAGTAAACTTGCCCAGTGCAACACACCTCCTAATCTCTGACTGCCGGTACCAAGGGACCCATATGGTAACCAAAAAGCCAAACTCACCGCCTTCAAACAGATTCCAACACACAGTGATTCTTGGCTGAGTTTCCAAGACTGTAAATCTCTAAGGGTGGAGAATGCCCATTTTTCTTCCTCGGAGCATCTAGTTGATTTTAACTGTCAACCTTTGGGTGAATAGTTGATACATACAACACACACACATGGCTCCTTTTCAATGTAAAAGAGACGAACACAGCGTCCGAGTATAAACATGGCCAAAGCTGGCATCACATGTGACAGGCACGCTATCGGGAGGAGCGAGGTCCTGGAGCAGGGCCCTGTGCTTGGAAACGCTGAGGGTCAGCAAGGAGAGGAAGCC